GAGAGAAGGCTATTCGCGAGAGCTAAGCATTATTTCATTATTACATTTTATTTGATCTATTTTGTACACTGTACAGTACCTTATTTGAGGTATTTGTGTTTTCATAATACTTTAAGTTACATACTAACACGATTGATTTGTGTATTTTAGGAGGGGAATAGGAGGGTCAAAGGCGGTGTTCTGCTCATACGCAATTTTGGGTGTATGTGCTGTGTCAGGAATTTACCGTGTAAAGTGCGAGTGTACTGTATGTGTAAAATGGGTCGCTCCAAGTATAATATGTGCCACGAGTTGGATGGATATTGGTTGACTGTCCCCTTTCGTACTTTGCAGGACAGCTCACAGACGGTCACTGTCAAGGACGTATTGGCTCGGGCTGCAGCGAAAGGACTGCTGGAAGGCATCGATACGGGGAAGCCGGCGAAGAAGGAGCGGAGGAAGGCCAAGGCCTCCGTGCTGCCCTCCTCCTCGGCCAGCGCCAGCCAGGCCCGGATCGCGGAGTTCCTCAGCCGAGAGCGGAAGACGACCTCCTCTTCCTCCTCCCTCCTCCTCCCCGCCAAGGCGTGCACCAGCAGCCACGCCCTGCTCCGGGCCGGCCAGCGCGCGCGGACCCCCAAGCCCACCCCCTCCAGCCTCCCCGCCAAGAAGAACGGGAGCAAGCCGCCCCCGGCCGGCCGGCCGCCCGAGAGACGAGCCCACCCCCCCAGGGCCCGGCCGGAGGAGAGGGCGTCCGCGCTGAAGCCGGTGGAGCTGGTCCTCCCGCCCGTCATGTTCCCGGGCTGCGGCCAAAGCCGGAGCCCGCTCCCTCTCTCGTTCTTCCGGTGGAAGGGAACCAGCGGCCACTCCCAGACCTCCCTCAGCCCGTCCTCCCTGAGCGTCAGCCGCCACAGGGAGGCGCTCCGGTCCGGGGTGGTCCTGCATCCGCGGCCCTGGCTGTGACAGTGCGAAGGCTGGCGATCAGGACCCGGGACGCTGGCTATTCCAGAGACTCTTCCCTACTTTATTTCACAGCTGCATTAAAGTATTCTGCACCGGAGAGCACGATGGATTCTTTCGTATTTGCGGTCTACGATTTTAGCAGTGTTGAACCTAAAAAGTTAGGTACAGCAGCATCAGGCATTGTCCTTCTGCTGATCGATGTGTGCACATCTGGGTCTGGCTTAACAGACTGCAGTGGGTATCCCAGAGAGCTTTTTACATGTCACAGTATACTGTATTTCGTGTTTTATTGATTAAAATGTAATCGGTGTTAATAGCATCTCAGCCCTATTGTGTGGAAAGTTTAAGTTTCAAGTCATATAACGGAAATGTCCATGTGCTGTGACAGATGACAGCTCTTTCCCCATAATTCTACGACCAAATTAATTTTCATGGGACTAAATTGTTCAGAAACCAAACCCTGGTCCTACAGTACCGGGTTACAGCCCTTACTACAGGCTCTTTTTAAATAAGACCAGGAAAACAGGTTCTCTAATGTGAATTCTTATCCACTGATTTGGTGCAATTATGTCATTAAGGTCTGAGCTGGAACGAAAACCAGAAACAAAAGTGTCAGGGACAAGGGTTGCTCATGACCTGTCCTAGACTACAAAAGCTGAATATAGTGTATTCTAGGAGTAATGTAAAATTAAGCAGTAAAAGTGCTGGTTTGTCATGGCAAATGAATGGAGACACCATTCACAAAGACTGACAATTGAAAGCAGTTTTTTTAATCCTGAATTATTGTTAAATAATATGCAGAATTTAATTTGTAAGTGTGGCCTTATAATACCTGAAATTTAAATTGATTTCAAGGACTGTACCAGTGTAGTGAAGTGTTAATTTAAAAAGGTAGTGTATTGAAAAATCTATAATGCTGATTACTGGTAGCTGACACTCTGACAGCTGTAATAAAAGCAACAACTTCATTTCTGGAGCTCAATCCAGAGAGAACACAGCACAGAAACTCCTGCTGCTTGGCAGAAGTGCTTTTTTATTATACACCCCCTCTTTCCAGCAGGATATTGAAGGTCCAGGAGACCAAGGCATCCTGAGCTACACACGAGACTGGACGAAGAGTATTTGTGGCAATCTGAGAGACGCAAAGATCAGGTATCTCCTGCGTCGAGCCATCTCAGGGAAGACTTAGTTCCGACACAACCCTTGTTGGATGGTCACCAAACTAGAGGAATATTTTCTTTCTTACACCTGATTTTCTGATGGTTTTAGAAAGGAGTTCTTGACACTATTAGCCAACTGTTCCAGAACCATAGCTAGGCATTGCACAAATACCAAACATAAAATCCCAGACTGCAGTGCTACCTGAACCTAGCCCAGCACTTCTGCCACATTAGTCCAGACACCTGTTATTCTAATTTCGGAAAGTGGTTCTTAATACCACTGGCTGAGTATTATGACACTGCTTTTCAAGAACACATCAGTGACTGCAAGTATTTTACTGTAAATTAACTTATTTTCTTCATCTGCAACTGAAATACTATATCCTCACTAAGGGAAATTTTAAATATCTTCACTTGAGATAATAGTCTTAGACATTTCAGTAGTGTAACACTCCATGCAGTAACTAATTTTGGCACTGCCTGACCTTGCATTAAGGATTGTTGATACCATTGGCACATTATTCAGATTTATATCAGCTGAAGTATCATTCTGTAGACAGGACTCTAAATAATGAGCACAGATGATTTAAAAAGGTGAAATATATACGGTAATTGTATGCAAGGCATAAATACACTTTACCTATCATGGAAGTAGAAAGCACAGTAGGGAAAAGGTTTAGGTATTGTACATTTATCCCTTTCAACTATTTAGCAGTGGAAAGAATCAAAAGGCCAAGCTAGCATACGTAGCAAAGAGTGCAGAATACAGTCCCGAGTTCAAGAAGGCCAGAGGTTATGCTGAAATTGTACAGCACTCTGGTTCCTACATTTGAAATGTTCTATCTATACAGTTCTGGTCTTAATGTGGAATGACTGAATGGGAAGAAGTTCTAGATCGGTGTTTCCCCATCCGGGTACAGTGTCTTCTCCTAATCTTACTCTTGCTGGAATTCTCGCCAGAATATTTTTGAAGTCTCCTGCCCCTCAAAAAAAAAAAAACAGACTAAAATTGATAGTATTAGGGGACAGGACAGTAAACACTCTCATTCCTTAAGAGACACAACTTGCCACCAAGCAATGACAATACATTACCGTTTTGTTAAAAATAATTCAGATGGGTGATTTTCGAATGAGCACAGCTTGAACAGTGACATGACTGACTCTTCACCACACAATTCCATACCACGCCATCAGCGCTACCTGCGTGGAGTTCGTTTGTTCTCACTGTGTTCACGTGGATTTTTTTGGCAGGTGCTCTGGTTTCCTCCCACAGTCCAAAAACATACTGGGAGGTTCATTGTCTTCTGGGGGAAACTGGCCCTGGTGTGTGTGTGTGTCTGTGGCCGGTGATGAACTGGCTTCCCAGGCAGGGAGTACACTGCACTCCTCCACAACCCTGTAATGGGTAAAGAGTTTAGGAAAGGGATGGATTTGTTTTATCTAAAAGAAACGGCAAAAAACGAACCCGTTAGAAAAATCATGTAGTGTTCTACAGTATATGTGGGGAAAATATAGGCAAGGCATTTTAAGAGCAATACTGGCTCTGCAAACAATTAAAGCAACATATCGTTCTCACTAATTATCACCACTCGTTCCTCACCAATTTTAAGTGCAACATCGGTGGAGTTGTGTTGAAAAATTAATGCAAAAAACTAGCTGCCTAGACATTCTCGCAAATAATGGCTTCTATTTGCATGGTTTCCGAGAAATACATTGTGAAAATCTTGCACCCTTCCAATGTTATTGCTTCTCGATGACGCTGGCGAGCACTCTCATAATGGTTTGTAATGCTTCATGCTTACTGCATAATCAGTAAGTAGTTACATATAACTTAACCAATAATATACATCGAACATTAATGTACAGCACATAATTTAGCATGTATGTTAATATATTAACATACATATCGTATAACTACATTAATATAAGATATATAATATTAAGCATAACAAGCTTAACTAATGACGCTTCCAAACTAACAAAACTGGAATGCAACAGGGAAGTCACAGAGCTACCCCAGGATGAGGACTGAGAAACACTGCTCTTGAGCAAGCATGCAGGACCACCAGCTTCATTTCAGAGTCTTGACGACACTTGGCAAACACCAGCCACAGGAATGTGAGCTAAGAGTTAAAAAAGGGATGATACATTGTTTCCTCAAGTGTAAAAGTTATGTAAAATAAATTCTGTGACCTTCCAGTTGGATACTGTAATGGACATTGATGAGCTGAATTGCCTAGTGTCCTCTTAAACCTTTCCATTATCGGGATTTACTCTGGGGAAAAAAAGCTGTGGCTCAGTACGTTACACATCGTACTCTTGCCTACATATCATTTATTTAAAAGGCATCTGGATTGGTCTTTTTAAGTATTTATTTTCTTAGTGTTTTTGTATTCCTGCAATCTTTTACAGCTGCTCTACAAATCAGCTCAGGTTCCATGCTTAAAAAATTACAGCCACATAACTATTTACAGCTTCTTCTCTAATAACCCGGACAAACACATTCATGCATTTTATTACTCCCTCCAGTTTACTTTAATCAGCTAATGTATGCAAAAAGACAGAAAAAGGGTAAAGGACAGCCTGTGTCCTTTCATAGCCCGTTACTGTACGTGTGGTAAAAGAACTAGGGTCGGTCTCTTTTACAGGTGGGAATTATTCGGCTTCACGCTCGACACACTAACTCCCTCAGAAGGGAGGCTGGCGAGTCCTGTAAAAGCGTTCCGTGATTTCACAGCCAGTGTAGTTACACAGCTGAGACCCTAACAGACCCTGGGGCCAGGCTGGGACACCACATGGCACTGCAACACTACCAGTGTCATTAGACTCCAGATGCTCGCGAGCTAACTTCAGTTACTCAAGACATCTAGTTTGTCCAAGGCATTTTACTGTACTAAGGTATTTATTAGATGGTTTGTGAATTAAGGTACCATTAGGTATTAATTACAGCGGCCCGAAGGGTTTGTTTAATTAGACCAATGAAGGAACTGGAACAAAAGCCAGGAGACCAGTAGAGATACTCCTCATGAGTACATTTTGAGAGCCTGGTCTACACGTGCTGTACCCAGTGTGCACTCCACTGTCTCTCATGCCACAGTATCCTCTAGTTCCTGTCCAGTCCTTTGTGCTCCAACACTGTCAGTTAGAGGACAATGAAACCGAAACTGTGTTGTATGTGAAAACAGTACACAGTACAGCATGGTTCAGCAGTGAAACTGGAGTCTGTGCTGAAGGAAAGATGTGATTTTTTCAAACGTGGTGGAAAACACCAACCACCACATCTCTAGTAACAAGAATGAAAAGCAGTACTTTTTTTTTTACACTGCATGACATTTTAAAGAGATTTGTAAGAGACAGCAACAGGCAAAAGTGCTCAGGCTGTCTTTTAAAATAATGAGCCCTTCAGCTCTCCGGTGTCACTGATGACAAATGCAGAAAAAGAAAACTGATTTTTTTGGGGAAGACAGTCCAAAATATTCCAAGAATATATAGTGTTACCACGGCAAAGTTGGAACCAGTTTGCACTTGCGATCATGAGATTAATATCACTCTAGTACGTACAATATACATTTTGTTAAACTCATGCATTTGATCATATTAGAACAAACACATACTTTGTGTTCAAACTAACAATTTCAAGTGAACATTCTGTCATTTTTCTGTAAACCGTGTAAAATGTTTTTGTTCTAATGTATGATCAAGTTCATGCAAGGAACTGCCCCAAAATAAAACCAATATTATCCTTATACAGTATATTATTATGTTATCCATTCATGATAATCACGATCACAAATACAAGTTGCTGCCTGTAAAGGAAATATCGCAGTTTTGAGTTCATTATTCCAATACATCAGGTGTGTACTGTACATCCCAGAAAACGGGAAAAAACGCTTTTAAGCAAGGTATCAAACTCAACTACAGGATAAACAGCACAAACTGATGCTGCCCACCAACAACAAATACAATTTACATGAAGACAAAAAAATAACACCGCAGGCAGTGCTGTATTTTAATATGCAGTTTATTCTCACAACAGATTACATTTATATGGTGTAAAATTAGTGAACAGCAGAAGAAACCAACTTTTTTTTTTTTTACTGTAAATCAGCTGCATTACATCCTAGCAGGCTTGAGTATTTTATTTCGAGCACTTGAATGCTACTACTTAATCAAGAGCAACTTAACGTCCAGACCCAAATATACAGAAGTGAAATGAGAACCATCTCCAACCAGGCTGTAGGACTGCAACGCCCTTGGTTTTGTGTGATATGCTTGCTATTCACAATGGCGTCTGATGTGTGACCTATTCAAAGGCGCGCGTCTCCCAGCAGTTTCATGGCCTCTTGGAATGAGGGCAGGTGTGGCTTGACTCCCCCCCTTCTTGCAGAACCACCCAGACATGCCGGTCAAAAGTGCCATCAATATGACGGCAGCCATGTTCAAACGCCGGAAGGGACTTTCTGAAAGCTAACCCACCCTAAAAAGCCACACACCCCTCAAATCTTCCCCCACCTCCCTTAACCCTTCAGTAAAAACATATAGACCCCCCCCCTATAGACACCTCTACCACTGAAGAAGGTTTCACATTGCAGGTACGCTCCCCTATACTTGGGAGTCTTCGGGGCTGTAATGCATGTTATATACACTCAATCTTTTAGTTACTGTACCCTGCAACGAACAGCACTAAACGGGAATTTTTGCTTGAGGAGAAATAAGTGTCTGCCTTCAACAGCAGGGGGTTCCCAGTCCTGCTCCAGCCGAGCTCCGAGTTAAACAGCTGAACCCTCGAGTGACTTAATAACGGGACGAATCGAAAGCGTACCCAGCTCTTGGAAATGACCGTTTAATTTCTTCCCTAAGCCTAAACCGCCAGAAGTTGAACGATTCTAAACGTTCGTGAGTAGAAAAACAGAACTTGCCGATGTACCCACGGAGCAATTTGTTCGTTTAAATAAGGCAACAATTAAGTAATTAAGCTTGGTAGGGAATAAATAGTTGTAGGGGTCTGGGCCTGCAGGACTAGGATTGGGAACACCTGATCTACACGAGGCAAAACAAGAAACAAAAATGGTTCTATATCTATGGCACTTGTCTGAGAAATTACCTATATTCTCAGTGTGTGCAGAATTTTCACACTTGGAAGAACAAAAGGGCACATACCAGAGCTCCCTTCTCCCTACCAGCTACAGCTAAGCTGCAGTCATCTGGGATCTGATGTGCACGGTAATGATCCTTTATCTGCAAAACTGCTGGACTAGCACAGGCAGAACATTGATTTAGTGCTGACTACATTGTGTGAGAGAGAGAGATCAGACATTAAACGCAATACCTCCAAACATAATAAACCGGTATACTTCAATATAAAATAGAATAAATAAAATAAAAATATTTCTCTCAAGTCTTTTTTTTTAAACGTTTTTAAATTGTCACGGGACATGCAAGGCAAAGTGACTTGGCTGTCTGCTTTGAGAATCGCTATATATACGTATAAAGAATGCATAGATAACGCTTGGTTAACTCTAGTCTTACTACAACTAATTGGCCTAACCACAGTAAATAAAATCATATTGACAAGTTTTCTCTTTTTTTTTATCTACAACACAGACATCTAAACATTACACTTTGGCCATGAGTGAGTAAAGTGTTGGACAAACATGTTTCAAGGCTTTTAAGTAGAAAAAAAACAAAACGAAACCAGCTTAGAAACTGCGATATAGGTAAGCAAAACTCCTTTATACACACACCCTTTTCACATTGTTTCAACCTTTGAACTGGTTTTAAGAAAAAAAGGTTTCGTTTCCTTGCTGGTTCAACAGCTAATGTCAGGAAGAGTGCAAGCACTGTGATGAAGGGGTCTGAGTGTTCAGATATGCACTGGAAATTCAAGTAATATTAACAAGGTGACGACAGTCCGTCGTCCAATCGAAATCGTGTCCTGGTGGAGACGGACCTTCAACATCAGGTTCTGGGAGCTGAGACTCTCTGAGATGTTGTGTGGAAGAGCTTAAACGTGACAACAGCCCCTACCCCCTCCTCCCGAAAAAAAACTAAGACACAGAGATACATTAGCAAGTGACGGGAAAGATCAGAGCACTGCGGACACCCTCCAGCAAGTCAAATTCACAGACATATCAGAGCAACTAGAGGAAAAAAAAAAACACATTCAAAGACATCACCCCCATCTCAACAGAGTTTTAAGAAACACTGACCATGCTGTTCTAACAGTATATGTACAGCAATGGAACAAGTAAAGGTTTTCCTTTCTCGCACCTGAAGAAGGTCCCACAGCCGAGACGTCGTGTTTCTTTTCTTCTCTTTACAGCATGGAATAAACCTTTACTCCTTCCTTTGCAGCCTACGTATGCTGACACAGCTACCGACTCGAGCTTCTTCAGTATATAGACAGGCTAGGACAGGTTATTTTAAGCACTCAGACTTCTAGCGAATATCTCCATGGCTTTCCCTCTAGTTTTATTCCAACTGGTGCAAGAAATAAATAACGCTGGGCTAAATAAAGTTTCCTAGGCTCCACTTTGCCTGTTAGGAGAGACAGGCTCCACAGAGACAATGTCTACGAGCAGCAGGCAGGACAGATATTGAAGACCTAAAGGAAAGCAAATGTATCTCCAATTCATTTTCACCCTAACGGTTTCCAAAGTATTTTTTCTTCTGTTTCTCAAGGTGAAATGTGCAGGCGGAGAAAATTAAAAGATATGAAAGGGAACGCTGATGCGGTGAGCAGCCAGAAATGAGCAGCTGCACCAGACTAAATTATCATTCTCAATCTACTGCAGTCTGGGTGACAGGCGAGGAAGAAAAGCAGTAGTAACAAAAGGCTTTTTCAGAAGGGCACCAGGGAAGACCATACGAGTGCTCCATACGAGTGTACCAAGTCCATTAAAGCCAACGTGAAAGAAATTAAAACATATATATTCAAAGACGGTTCACATGTTTAAAAAAGGTGCTCGTTTGTCTGAACAGCGAAGCAAAATAAAAACAAAATCGTAAAAGAAAAACCTTATCATGCACCTCTTCATATCACATTATGAAGGCTAGAATGTGGGAACATGCTTGCTGTACACATAGCAGGACAAAGCACTGGAGACATTAGAGCCGGCGGTGAAGGAGAAGGAATGCTGAATGTCAGCGTGTTCCGGTGGCTATGAAGTATCCTCACACACGCAGTGACTGTGCGTCAGGGTGGCCGTGAATTGCTTTTCCAGCTGCACATACACCAATTTATTGGGGCAGTTCTGCTACGGGCCTCTTCTGTTTCAAAGTGTCAATGAGGGACAGCACCCCTCGTTTCACGCTGGTTGTGACCCGCCGGGTCACAGAGTCTGATGGCGGGGTGGCCGAGCAGGCCTTCTGCGAGGGAGGCCTCGCCACTAAACACTTCTGGTACCGCAACTGCAAAGAAAGGAGGGAAAAAGACCGTGATGAACGTTTTCACTGGTGCACCAACAGAACAGGTGGGTCTCCTAGCAACAGACACAGGAGAAAGGCAGGCTACTGCCCAGGTAGAAGTGAGACCTTCTTCCCAAAATTCATTACGGAATGAATTCATTACACCTGCTTCCTAGAAACTAGGAAACTGCTTCCTAGAAACTGCTAGCTTGGTTTTCGTTAAGACCTACACCTTCGGCTGCCCGTCTGAATTCCCGTCAATGAGCCCAAACTCACTCACTGTCATTGTTTTCAACACAAACTGAGATTCAGATCTTCAAAGCAAGCACAAGTTATTGATCCTCACAGCTTCTGCTCACTGTTACCCCACGCACCCCCTTCTCTGTCCCAGCTGGCTGGGGGAGGTGAGTGAAAGCTAAAATGTGTGCCCACAGAGGAACGCCATACTCTCATGGCAGAACACTCCAGTGCAGACCAGTCTCTGCACTAACTTGTGTTTACCGATGGTGTTGAGGCTGTAAGCCAAGAATCATGAGGTCAGCATGTTGGTACTGGAAAAAAAATGTTTTTATTCAGAGACAAGGGCTTGGCACAGACTGAAGGACATAATCAGCTGTAGTTTCTCCAGGTAAGAAACCGAAAGCTCTCCAGGCCCCGACAGGCCCACCTGCAGCATCTGAGGTGAGTTATAGGCAAATCCAGTTGCCTTTATTTTCAGCGATAAAGGCGATACACTACTGCCACGAACATGGTCCTGCCAGTATGGGCCACTACTCAGAAATAACTGAGAAACTCCAGAACGTCCACCGGTGATGAATGCTAGAGAACAAAACCAAACCATTTTACGTTTAATCACCATTACTCAGCCTCGCTTTTACAATACACTTTCGACTATACATCACAAGCAAAACTTGTCTATTCTCATTTGTTCTCTTAGTATTTTACAGTTATATAACTTTTAAACAAACTATATACATTCAAAATGAGGAAGATGTATATTTTTATGAATATGAAGAGGGAGGAGACTGTATAAAAGTACCTTATTAATTAAGTTTCAGTTATTTTGTATCTCAAGAAATTCAGACCTTAAAAGTTTAATGTACTTAATACTTGTAGCCTATTTCATTATTAATTCAAGACTCAAAATGTTGGTCACGTTGACAATCAAGTACGTAAACAGCATTTTTAAAATCTACTTTTTGTATCAGCCCAAGGCCTTCTGGCTCATAAAACGGGGCTGGTTTCAGTCACCAGTTGGCTAAAGTTATCCTTGTTAACGTTAGCTGTGGAACTGCATGGAGAGAAAAGGAGAACAGACGGATGTAATCACAGAAACCCCATTTCACATTCTCAAAAAACGACGGCCTTGTTAAACTAAACACTAAAACTGAAAAAAGTAATAACCTAAGCATTGGGACATATTCTCAGACGTACTATAATATTTACACTGATGAATAATTCAAAGTGCAGAAGGGGCTGATGATCGATACGCAGAGAGATACTCATTTTCAGGAATCACAGGCATGTTTAGTTCATCAGTGTAATAAAGATACGGCCCGACGACTGCCTGCATTCTTGTTTTGTAGGGAATTCAGCCCTCAGGGAGTAGTACGGAGAGCAGTTCACTCTGTTATTGAAATTAAAATGCTGGCAAAACAGACAGGGGCCAGACATAATCTTGGGCAATTACAGGTGATGACTTCAGGCCGGCTTTTAATCAGATGTTAAATCTGGCTATTTCACAAGGGAATGGTCATTGAAAGTTTAATGCATCTAGCTTTCAGACACCTATGGGAAAAAATATTAAGCCTGCACCCTGCTTTCCTGCAGCGCTCTGCATTCTCAGAGCCTCTTCAGTGTCTGCAGTGAGTCTCTATAACTCTGACCCCCATAGAAACTGGCTCCAACTTTGTTCTTACTTTGTCCTCCTTTTTATGACTGTCTTTGCGATCCAGTGGCACCAAGACAGGCTGGCTTCTACTTCAACGAGGAAAGCGCGAGGGTTCTGCGGGGGAAACTCACCATGCAAGCTGCCTGTACAGCCTCCGATACACTCCCAGCGTTGGGATCGCACCAGAACACGTGACACTCAAAGTGCTGGTTTCCCGAGTCCATGATAAAGGCGAAGGTGTGCACGTCTCTCCCCACTCCCATGAAGGACAGGAAGCGGACACGGCACTCCACCAGCACCTCCCCCTCCTTCTGTCGGGGAAAAACGGCGACAACAACAACAACTTGAACCGGGAACAGAGATCAGAGTTTCAGCTACAGCCTCTTTTAAAAACTGAGTCCGCGTGCGCACCGGTTGGCTTATCCCTGTGCAGCTGCCCGAGCTCTTTTGAATCTTTTGACTCTCAACAACATGGTAACATCCTGGGCACTCACTGGGGATGTTACCGAGATGTAAAAAACTCAAGACACAGCGAAATAATTGGCGACTCTTGTTAAAGTATAAATTATTTTCTACCAACAACAGGCTTTCAAGAGAAAAGAATAATACACTGTTGTATTACTCCTGAGAAGTAATTGGTTATGGTGATACACTGAATAAACAACAAACACTAATGCACTGCAAAAACTGCTTTTCAAGCATAGGCAACTAGTGTTAAAATATCATATTTCCTATTTTAGGTATGTTCTATGCATAGTAACAACTTTCTGGTAAAAAAAAAAACCTCATGTTACAGTACTTTAATCTCAATATTGTACTTCAGTGTTGAAAATTAATCACTAGGGGGAGTGGTCGTGCAGTTTTCTGGAACAACTCTGGCACTGATCAGCTTGTGCAATTTTTCCTGAGAAGCAGAATACAGAGAAAACATCTTCAACCTGAGATGGGAGTGTATCTTTTCATTGAATACGATGGAAGACCACAGTGCTTCTTATGGTTTCAATTTCTGCCAGCGGAAAAAAAGGTACAGCTTAAATCATCACTACAGTAGCCTTCACAGAGGCAAGCTGGAGAAGTACACAAAGTGACACTAGAAAAGCTAGAAATTGCCGAACTAAAAATGAAACTTTTGAGGCTGCAGAGCTGTTTGTCAAGAGTTACCAGTGTCCACACCTCCAATGGTACTGTGTCGCAAGAAACAACGCCACTGACAGATGAAACAGTATAACTTTTAATTCAGTACAAATGACAAAGGCTGTTAGAGATGACAAAAAGGCAAGAAAGTCTGAAACCATACCTCTTCATAGAGCTTAGAGTTCCAAAAAAATTCAAATAGGCATGAATATATTGAACATAGTCATATTTTGATTTACATTTGTAAATCCATATACAATTGAAAGTGTTTTTACCATACATGAAGAACCTTTGGAGTTTGTCTCACTACACAGAACGACAAAGGGCCCTGATATTTTTGGTGGGGTCCAGGAAACTGCTGATGTTTTAGAAATTTGTTGGCGATCATTATGGAGGTTCACAGTTTTGTTCAATTTTAGCCAGCCTTTTGATTTATATTAAGAGTGGGTGTATAATGCAGAGCAGTCCATCCAAGAAGCACTGTGAAAAACAGCTTCAGTAATGTTGTGAACATTGCCACAGAACAAACTAACATGATTGGAGGGGAACAGTTCATTGGCCCATTGCAAATTTGTAGCTCTCCTTGAGCAAGTGGAAGCCACATTTGATAAATTAGTTCTGCACACTGAGTGCAATGGATGGTTAAGAGAAAATGCCTCATACAACTCTTTTCTCTTCGTTGGGAAATTGCCGCCATTTGCAAAAAAACACAGTTCAGAAATGAGGAAGTTTCCAAAAGAAGCTGGAGGATTTACGTTATCTTTGTGATCTGAGTTTTTTGTCTGACCTTTCCCAACATCTGAATTACCAGTTGCAAGGCAGCAGATTAAAGGGAGCAAGCAGGAACTTTTAAAGAGTCAGCTGTTACATATGGATCAGACCCACTTCCCAGTTTGTGCTGAGTGAGTTACTGAACTTTTAGAGAGCATGCTGCTTCCCAGATATGAGAGAGTGGGTGCTGAAATTCAGCTCTGTGTCTGGGACCACATACATTCAAGGAAGGAAAATCTTGACACTGAACCATCTGAAGTAAAAAAAAAAAAAGCTACAGTTGAAAAGCTCTTCTAACACATGTGGATTGGATGCATTAAACTTTACATAGATAGGCAGTCTTTGGTGCTCAAACTAGACTAACTACAAGTATTCCTTAAAGATTTGAAAAACCTTTTTTACTTTCAATATTTTTACTTTACAAAATGTTTTACACTTCATGCTCCTAGTGTTTATGAACAGAAATTCAGTAAACAAGTTTTAGTGATGTATGTTGCCTCCAGGGACATTAAAGTTGCTCATCCTTGGTTATTAAGAAGCACACGTGGCAACAGCCAATACTGATGTGCATTATGGGGATTTAAAACCCAGAACATCTCAGTTAAAGCTGGACGACCGTGCAGAAAAAGAGTTATTTGATTATGCCTCGTTTACCTATGAAAACTCTCCTTGACCTCTTTATTACCTTGTCAAAAACAAATGACAGCCTCAGACAAAGCAAGCAAACTTCCTACTACAGCGTGGCTCCTGTGGCTTCAACTTACTTTTTCTTTGATGACTGTGACTGTGGCATCAGCGACGTTCATGATAACTGGCATCCAATCCTCTTTGCCACAGGAGGCCATGAGGCTGTCGATGGCTCCATTCAGGATATCCATACCTGGGAAAAGCACACGTTACAGACATGGAGAATCAGTCTGGAGCCGGCCTTTAATTCTTTATTTTGATATTTGTTTATCCTGTTTTCCACTCATTTTAAATTATATCACACACATTTTTCACAGTGGAAAAAACGGTAAAGTTTCCTTATCCAGTTGCTGAAAGGTAGATGCTTCTTCAGGAAATTATTTTGCGCCTGGCTGAACTGATACAGGCAGGTAAAACAAAGGTGCAGGGATCTACCTCAGCAGCTCAGCTAAAGGCTGTAAAACCGTTGAGACTTTGAACTGACAGAACCAGATCATTTTTTTATGTTAATCTGAGCTGCCATGAAAACGTTGTGTTGAAAAAAGGATGCTGCTGTATCTCCCGTTTCACAAAACACGTTTGCCGGGATAAAAACAACAGGCACTGGAAATCTGGCAGCAAACTGCTTCTTTAAGGATAACTTTGCTGCTCATCAAAATCCCCTTTTCCATTGTTGAAACTACCCATCTTAAAACAGCTCAGAATGTTTCCACTTATAATTCATATCACCGGTAAAACAAAGACTTTACCGGAAGACATGAAATTCTCCGGTCCTAGTTTAAGTTAAGACCACAACCCAGTTAGTAAAAAAAAAACCTGCTTTTTTTAAATAAAAATAGCAACAGTGTTATTTAAAAGCAAACCGCTATTTAAAAAAAAAAACATTAAGGTAAGGTACAATGAAAGAAAACATTCTCCACCTTCAGTCTAATAGGATAAAAAAAGCACTTTAAAAGCAAGTGATGGAGCTTGTATCTCTATACAGTACATCACTATGTGTTGTTAAATAGCATGCCTGTCATTTTTCACTTCAAGAGCCCAATGAGTTCCTTCTAGACATCTTCCATAATCCCATGAATCCCCTCCTGCTGGGTACAGCCTGTCAGACATCACTCACAGCGGACAGACAAACTCTCTTGTCCAGACCTTGACATGACTGAGATGTCTCTCCAGCTCCACACAACGACATCAAACAGCAGCCTCTGAAATGCTTTGAAAACGACTCGTATGTTTGCCAACTCACCCGATTTTTGGTTTTCCTTTACCGGAAAGAAATAACAGATATTTTCCAACAATGTCCAGGGACGAAACTATGTATACAAGAACCCCAAAGTTCTCTTTATTGTTCTCAACACAAAGAAACTCTTTGACAGACGTGGGAACTCTTTTATGGATGGGTCTTTTCACACACCCAGAGGCCAAGTTAGTGTGGGGGTCACTGAGGGTTTTGAACAAAGACAGCAGGGATTTCCACAGGTCTGGAGTTCGAGAAACAAGCGCGTACAGTCCCAAACAGCCGCATGCTTTAGAACTGTGAAAGCGTTTCAGACACCATTTAAATTTGGTAAATCCTCAAAAAAACACACCACTGCAGCCCGGGAGCTGATCGGAACCAACAGCCTGAGAATTACAGCTTTCCAAGTGTCGCCACTGCACGCATTATCCAGTCTTTCATTCCTGGGCATGAAAACGGGATTTTTAGGAAAAGCCTAAACCTGTGACATCTAGCCTTGCAGTAAATCTGAAGCTGGATGGATTTTCAAAGGAATAAAGAAGTGATTTAACAAAAATAAAATAAAAAAACTCTTTACAATATTCAGCCAACATATATAAGTTACGTGTAGCCTTGTATCCAGTTGTTTCTGTACACTTGTTAGCTACAGTACACGAAACAGTATCCTGGTTTCATATGGGTTTGCCCCATTAAAAGTATCTGCATCCTGCTTAGATCTTCAGCGGACGAAGCTCGTTTCCCCACTTGTGAGGGAGCCTCCCTGGGGCAGCAGTGGCTGAGCCAGCAGCTGGAAGGAGCTGTCTGCGTCAGAGGGGAGATGAAGGAAACTGAGGCTTCCTGAACTGGTTAGACTCCGAGCAACCACCAGGGATGGGGGCAGTGGGGTGGATTAAGTAGAGAGCAGGGGAGTGCATTCTCTGGACAATAAACCGTTCAAAACCACGTCGGAGGTCCTGAGTTTGATCAGGCTTATACTTAAAGAGCTAAGGGCATTAAATGGCTGTTCTGTGCGTAACAGCGTTTGAGTCTTTCAATAACCTCATGCTACAATATACAAAACCATTAAAGATATCATATCTTTAAAATCTGCCAGTCCAAGCCACTTTTATTTAGAGAGCTTAGTGCTTCTTAGATATGAAACAGAAACACCGAATGAGAGTACAGGCTGCTTACTTGCTTTAATATCCTTTGATAGTTTAGGAAGCTCGTTCCTTCTGGACTCCTGGAGGGCCATTTTGAATGATTCCGAAATCTGCACGAGTCTGTCCCAGCCTCAATAAATTTGCCCAGCTACTTTGATCTGCTCATGACACCAACCTAGATCTGACATACCAACTCACAAGTGATTCACATAGCCGATACAAAGCCCTCCAGGCAAATATATCTGCTCAATAAAGCAAAAAGCAGCGATGGCAGTGTGCTGTACTGCAAACATAATTAGATGACCTGTCATAAGGATTACGTTTCTGAAAAGCAATTCTGCAGCAAAGTTATAATTCAACAGACAGCCCATTATGGTACAGAAAGCTTTGAGAATGCTTAATATTAACCTCTGCTTTTGCTGAAAGAAAAGGCAGCTTTGCATCAGTCATATTAATTGCAATGGCAAAGTGATGTGTGGCATCAAGGGCTGGGATATAAGCTGAACAGCTCCACAGTGCAGGCGGGTTTGGCACAGACAGGCACGTCTGCACATTCAGAAATCACTTGAAACTGGGCTCCAGAAGGCAGTGCTTTGCTGGAGAGGTAAAGAATGTTAAAACACATCAAGGAGCTCATAAGTACACACCTGTTCTTAATGTGTTGCACCGAGACCACAGGGCCTTTAATTTGGAGCTTCTGTCACTGCTGTAAAGGTATTCGCCAATTATATCACGAGAGACTTCCATTTCACACAAGGGACAAAGATGGGAGGGGGAAGATGGAGAAGGAACCATTGTTTCAACTTCATCAGAACTTCCACTACTTAATTTAACTGAAAAAAATCAGCACTAGAAGCTATTATTGAAGCATTTCTTATTCCCCAGCTTAGCCTAGTTCTTCTGATTTGAACAAAGAGCCACTTGCTGTTTATAGCTACTGACTGAATTCTGCAAGTTGTTGCCTCCGGGTATTTTAATTGCAAAGAAAACAAGACGTAAAGACTTTAGCAACACCGTGACTGGGACCAACAACAGATTATGTCGTCCTCAATAAAAACCCCTTAAAGTTTAAAATCCTCTGCCTCCTTAAAATACATAGTCACTCCGTCTTTCTAGGCCCGGATGCGTTACATACTGAATTATGAAAATCTGACCGAAGCAGTATATACCACAGCCTTCACCCAAATAAGAAAACCAACAAACATCAAATTACAAAACAAAAGGCGTAAATAATCCCCAACAGTTTGACGGATATGGAATTCAGAAATGCCCATTTCCATCAGACTTTTACACCCGCATTTCCACCTCTCGGTAAAATTCCTCGCTTGGTGAACCAGCACTTTTTTTTATAAGTGAAACTTGTATTTTTGGAACAGGGCAATTTCAACAGTATTATCCAAGTGATTGCATATCAGGTTATTCGAAAAAGAAAAACCCGAAAAAACAATCAACGAGACAGCAATTGACAACAGATACGGACAAACAGAAGGCAGACGGACTGAAGGAACAGCGGACAGATGGACATGGACAGTGTCTTGCCTACCTATTGGTCTGGCAACAGGCATCATTCCCAGGTACATCACGTGGAACTTCTGCACCAGCTCGGTCTTTGGCGTAGGGAAATCTGAGGACAGAGGAGATCAATTGCATGTGTAGAGAAGGAGAATCTGTCAGATGCGAGATTAGATCTGTGTGCAGTGCAGAGGATCTTCTGCAGCAGAGAAAGAGATCCACTGGGGATGGAGGAAGGGAGAATCCGTCGGACAGGGTGGGATCAGATCTGTGTATTGGGCAGGAGATTGCTGCTGGACGGAAAGAGATGAGCACGTGTTTTACTACCGCACATGGCTCAGATCCAGGGAAAATTGCAGCAGGGGAAAAAAGTCAATGCAATTCCAATTGGCAAAAGACCAGCGTACTGTAAGTCAATTGAGATGCGAGACTTATTTCCAACAACACTGTTGATCTCAGTAAGAAATATACCCAATGTCTGGAACTCCAGCTATCAACGTTCATTAATCGGTTTCAGATTAGGTCAGGGGAATGAAATTACTTAGCGATTTGGAACACTCTAATGCACAAGGTCCTCCTCTCATGAATCAAACCAACAAAATGAAAGCCCTTCCAGTAAATCAACCACAAATACTGTATTCTTGTGCAGTTAAAGAACGTGAATTTACCGGTACACTGCTCAGCGAACCTGTCGACATCTTATCCTTTGTTCTTCTCTTTTAACTTGCTGGTTCAGATTACTTTTAAGGTGGTAACTGTCAATCAGTGATGGCTGATGCCCCACAGAAAGAATGTAATTATCGCGCTATGCGCTAACTACTCCGAGGAAGGACTGGGACTCCATTTTTTCAGCAATAAAAAAATTCTTCCGAGCACAGCGGGCTGGAAGTTGCCCTTTATGCTCCTCTGGGTTAATGAAAATCTTGCACACTGCAGTGAAAAATCTAATCAGGCACACTACCGTGTTTTTTTTATCATGAAATAATCATTCACCTTGGATCCCCTGGAGGCTGTGTGTGGTCCAATAGCTAAGACATGGGGCTTATTACCAGTAGGTACCAGTTAAAGCTCACTCTGTCTACCCTGATCGTGTTACTGACACTACTCACACCCTCTCGGTAGGATGAGAGGACAAACTGTTGTACGTTAATTCAGGTGTTGCAGCTCCTGCTGCCATATTTTACCTCTGCATTCTAAATAAAAGCATCCACTAAATGCTTAACTACAAAATGAGTGATTTGATCACGCACACATATGTGTGACGCTGACAACTCCGTCAGTCTCTGTGGTGATGTGTGATGTTTTTTTCATTCATTTCAGCGATTCCCCGATTGAAAAACACATGGGATTGCAATCTAAAAAGTTTAGAATCTGTTTGAAGCGAATTACAATGCGACACTGAAAGCTGCTTCACTAAGGAGAGGGATAATAAAGTCTGTTCTTCCTCTGTCTGAAGAAGTTCCGCAGACCTGCTGAATAGGCTTTCACAGGTTTCCTTCTCTTTTGGAGAAGGGAAAGACTGGGGATTTTTCTCTCCGTGTCTGTATCCAGGTAGGATGTACTGCCGAAAGAGCGATCACTATCTGGAACAGACCGCAAAAACGCCAATATAAAGTCTACGCCGAGACTGAGCAGAACTTTCTACTGCTTCAGCAGGATTCATTACACATTTAACAGGAGACCCCTGCAGCTGGCAAATCCAGAGAACTGTCAGATACACCCCCTCCCCGGGCTACACCAGACTCGACGTCTGCAACTTCAGGCTTACCACAAATCCTCCTGTGCCTTTTGTGTTGACAATTGGGTTCAAACCGTACTGTACACATGACAGGGAAGCACCTAAGTGATATTGTTATTTATTGTTTACCGCATATTTTATTTTGTGTTTAATTCCTGAACAGTACAGTGTAGGGAAATGAAATGTTCAGTAAATTTAAAATTTGTTAAAAAGGTCATTTCCCGCTCTTCCTAATGTTTAATTTCCTAACATCGAGGAGGATCGCTGCAATATCATGAACAGAAATTATCTATGCAGGTTCATGCAATGGTTATGAAAGGGTCCTTTCTGATTTACTTAAAACTCAGATGACGTTCCATCCAGGTATAAGCTGAGGGGTGGGTGTACATTTGTTAGGTTTTACTGACATCTCCAAGTTTCCATTCGAGCAGTTAATTGCATTCAAATGGGCGAAATGGCCCAACAAGCCTCTTCTGTTCCTTAGCAACACAGGAACACCACCCAGAGGAGATAAGTGGAAACTACTGTATGCGAAAGTGAGTTTAAAACTAAGAATGGGATGTGGGGGAATGGGACATTCATGTTGTTGGATACCGATACCCTGGTATCTTTCAAGAAATACCTGGATGATGGATCAATAAGCTACTGATATTGGGAACAAGTTATAAGATGCTGTGTCGGCTAGACCCTCCCATTCGTAACTGCTCTTACACATACTGACACGCCCAGGCCGACTGACGTCGTAGGAGCTACCCTGCACCCACCTTGGAGAGGAACATCCAAGCCCACTTGAATTCGCTCCTGCAATGAGCTGCCGGCCACAGCCCTGGCGTTCTTGCGTTCTGCCATAATCTGTGGAGGAGCGAGAAAGTACAGATTTCATGCTCGGTGGTTCAGAGGACATTTCACAACACTGCCGTCGGCCGGTGTTGCCAGGCGACCGGGCCCCTCCTTCAGGGAAAGGATCTGCGTGGCCAGGAGCGTCAGGAGAGCATTTGCATTCTGCTCGTGTGGACAGCCAGGGCTGGCCCAGAAAGCAGACACTCTCCATCACTGTCAAGTACACTGGGGCAAGCAGAAAAGCAATGAGATCGGACAAAAACTCCATATTCTGCTGAACAGGACTCAAAAGCTGGAGGAGGGATCTTTCCTCCTCCACGTCAGACTTGTTCCTTGCATCCCCATCCATCTTCAACTTGAAGGCCAGCTGGGCTCTTGCACGTCTGAAACATCGACGAGCCCCGATACATGGTTTAATTAGGCCTTGATAATTGGCTTCAGCTCCAAATGTGATGGGGGGAGATCTCTAGATGCCAAAGACAATCAACTTACTTCATATCTGCTACTTTGTAGAAGCTAGAAACAATCGCACTGAAGTCCAAGCACGTTTCGCAAAGCTGCAGTTTAATTAAGCACTCAATTAATGACCTAGAGCTCAGCTCAGCTGAACGTATAAGACACTAGATCAGCCCTGACTGGAAGCCCCTTCTGAGCCCTTTCTGTGTGACATGAGTCCTTGTCATCACAAATCTGCATACTGTAAGAAACACCCACAATAGGACAGATTAACTGCTCACCTGCCAGTTAAAGTGGCTTAGCAAATACCACATTAAACACTGTTGTATAACAATCTATCACACAGCATCTATTGTTCAATGTGGAAAAAGGAGACTTCACATTCATTTTAATTGTTAGTTACACCATGGTTTTCTGACTCATAAGGAGGCTTATATGCACTGCACAGGAAAGCATACAACATCCTGCTCTTCAAAACTAACAGAAAAGTAGATATTCTGAAGAACAGGACAATTGGTCTGTCATGTGGCACATACTGTACACTTTTGCTGAGGTCATCACAATATGTGACTCACCAATGCAATCTAGGATGTGTTTGGAATTCTGTACAAAGGACAGGCATCTTTCTTTTGCTGACTTTGGTGGATTCTTAAAGCTACACAAGGACCATGACACAACAGTTCCCCATATTTTGGGGCAATCAGATCAGACACTCACACGAAAATCTTTTTCGATAGCACATAAAGCCATCCTGTTTCTCTTGCAAGACAGACAAAAGAAGAGGAGCCTATTTATATGGAAAACCATAGCAATTTTCTGAGAAACTAACCCCAAGAGAGAACAAGGCACTACAGTATGCTTGATGAGAAATGACCTACTTTTCCTCCACCCCTCTGTTTGTGAATATGCTTCCGAAGAAATATCCATATCCAAGTGAAGAGACGCACCCTGGACTAGAAAAGGTATTCTCCACTTCCAGTACGAGTCTCAATTCAACATAAAGAAAATGTGCGTCATCAGCACAAAACAGGATTACACTTTTAGAAGAATGTTTTTAGAACACTTTGCAAAGTTTTACTATTCAATATCATTCTTATGCATTCTCTGTTATTAATATAACATATTAATATAAAGTTCTAGGTCATTAATTGAGTGCTTAATTAAACTGTGAGTGACATAACATAGAACGCATAAGGATGCATATTTCTAGAAATAATCCTAGACACAACTGATTTTAGATAGCAGACATTTCTGGGAGAAGGCCTGACTCAAGATATTACCTACTGTGTCCAGAGACTTAACAGCATTCTCATTATCAGCAGAAGCTTTGGTCAACTTTCTCTTGTCTTTAGTGCCAATTCACTTCAACAAAGAGATAAGATCACTGTAGGAGTTCTTATACAAGAACTGAACTCCTTATATTTCACCATGAAACAACAACCAGAGGAGCAGGGAATATCACATAGCAGATGAGCCCTGTGCTGCTAATCACCCTTAACAACTGCACTTAAGAGACATGTTTGTTTAAGCAACAGCAGAGATGGGAAGACAAACGTTGACTGCTGCTTAAAATAGCCGTTACGAAGTTACTCTCTTTTCAGGTCATCAACCAAATTCAGGTTCACAAATCTCAGCTCATTAAGGAAAACAACCCCCTTATCTTTGCCTTAATGTGGCATTAATTTTTAAACAAACTCATGGAAAAACGTTAGGGAAAATAAAAAACAGCAAACATTAGAAGTTACTGTAACTCCTTATTAATTCAAATGACTGCAATTGACAAAAAAAAACTACCAATAAGGACAATTTGCTAAAAGAAATCACTAAAAGGTTGTAAAAGCTCATTATGTTCACTTCATTACAGATTTCCATCTAAACCTGAAGCTGTTATCTTTACGATGACAATTCTTAACAGGAGAAGCACAGAAAGCCCACAGTTCCAGCAGCTTTGCAGGCAGATACCCACCTTGGAACAGATTTCGTGAAGACTTGTGGCGATGGCTTTTGCTGGGGTGTCACATCGGAACACATGACATTTTAGTATCCGGGTGTCTTTGTCCCTTGCTACATAGGCAAAGTCTCTGCAAAGGATGAGGGGAAAATGAGTCATTCTGTGGCATTAAAAAACAAACACTATGGAGTACATACTGTACAGTACACGGTTACCATCAACTTGATGAAACTAAAACCTGGATTCTCCCATCCAAACGTTTTCCTTCTGGCCAGAAGCTATATCACCCTGCAACTGACAACTGGCAACCCACTGAAGCTGAGCAGGTGTGAGCCTGGTCAGTACGTGGATGGAAGACCTCCTGGGAAAAACTAAGGTTGTTGCAGGAAGCGGCGTTATTTGGACCAGTAGGGGGCGCTCACCCTGCAGTCTGTGTCTGTCCTAATGCCCACTGTAATAATACTGTACAATACTGTAAAAAGACGGCATACTTTGGATGAGAGGTAAAACTGAGGTCCTGACTCTGTGGTCATTAATAATCCCAGAGCGTTTCTTGAAAAGAGTAGGAGTGTTACCCTGGCATCTTGGCCAAATTTCCCCCTGGCCTTTACCAATCATGGCCTCCTAATAATCCCCATCTCTGAACTGGCTTCATCACTCTGTTCTCCTCCCCACTGATAGCTGGAGCGTGGTTGAGCATACTGGTGCACTGTACAGTGGAGTGCCCAGAAAAGCTACATCAGTGTAAGGATTATTTATTTATTACATTACTCCTCATTTTTATGAAAGCGCACTGCTGACATCAGCGATGCTACATTAAGATCTGCTTGCCGTTACCAGCTTCGTCTGGAGAAATGAGCGCTATGCCGCAGATATTAGAAAGCTTCTAGCCCGAGGAACGGCAAGCAAAACTAGAAAGAGTTAATGCTATATCTGAATGAGGCTAGAAAACACCTCTGTAACTCCTTCATTTAAAAGCCGAGTCGTGTATGAAGGTCCTGTGGCAACATAAGATCACAAAGATACCAGGACCTCTGTAACTCAGCTGCGTCAGAGGAAAGTCCTGGTGACGTCTTTCATGGTGCCGCCCAATCAATCAACTTCAAACCAATGTGTATTTTCAATCTATACCATTCTCAAGGCACACAGATCATACATACTGTACAGAAAGGGAGTATGGCAAACAGCAAAAAACAAGTCCAAAACAAGCAAGCTTTACAAACATCGGCAGAGGATGTGTTTTTAACATGATCAGGAAGAGGATTTCAAAGATGAGGGCTCCAGCCTGATTCCCTAACGTATGACACGTCTTCCACTGTTGTCACCTGGCGTCTCTCTACATGAAGTCTTGCTCTTAGATTTTGACAGAAACGACGCTGTTCGTGAACTGTTAAGATTAGTTGCATGCTCAATGACTTGTCACGGCATATGCACTGTTTGTGAAGGAGTTAGTATGCTTTTGTTGCGTCAATCGAGTCAACATTTCAAATGGTGAGAATGTCATTTTCATGTCAGCACTTGGGTTTGCTGAAATGCACTCATAAACAAATGAGTTTTTAAGTGGATAGGAGCTACATTGAAGATGCAGGAGAAGAGGACAGAGTGACATTTCCTTTGCAGGGAAAGAATTGATCCTCCCCAATTATTTTTTTTTCTTTCTCAGCTTCTGTAATCGAGCTCCTTGCTTTTTACTTAATCAGAGGCAGAAGCCAACCGCTTCTGGCAAACAGGGTGAGACTCACATCCCTGCAGTTCAACACGGGGAGCGTTCAATAAAATTAGTCACACGGATAAAGGAAAAAAGGAAGCAGGATTCTAACCCTGCAGTTCAGAAAACGGATCTACCGATATTGGGCAAAGAAAGACTTAACTCGTATCTGGACAAAAAACTGATAAATCAAAACTCTTCTCTACTCCCGTGAGCCTTCATCATGATTGTAGCCCATTTTAAATTAATTTTAGAAATAACACTCAGTTTGGATTTATTTTAATAAACCCCAAAATTGAAGTAAAAGGGTTTATGGAGGCTTGTGTTAACACCAGCAGCATGGATGAATCTACTGCAATTCTCTAATGTATATCCTCTCAAGAGAAGAGACCGGTCTGGCCACTGCCTGTTTTAAAGGCAGAGGAATGACTGCAGTGAACTATGTGAAGACAGAGAAGACAGAGCACATGCAGAGCCCACAGCTGGCAAACCCACTGGACTGGAAAGTCATCCTGGAAGCCTGGACTGAAATCTAAGATTTGCAGCGCGTGTTGAAGCTCCGATAAGAGAATGTGGGGGTAGATGCTGTATTCCTAGGGTGTGCTAAATGCAGATACATCCTCCCCCACATCTGGGATTAAAACTGGAAAACTGTTTTGAAAAATAAATGAACGCAAGGCCTAGCTGAACGTATTATCCAGGGCAAAAACAAAGCAGGCTTTTTATGTGTGAATCTTACACATGATGCCCCATTTAGAATAATGGCTGTTTCAACAACCACAGTGGTCGAGGATGAACTCCTGTTTTCACTGTACAATAAAAACAACAATAAATGTCAGGTCTGTTCAGTCAAATGTCAAAGGAAGCAATAAACATTGTAGGGTAAACAAGTAATACAAATTAACAATTCTGCATTAATATCATCATTTATCTTCATAATATAGAACTTCTATATTAAAACATTGACAGGGGTAAAAGATAGCTTCCCTTCCTTATTCACAGTAGGAAGGGAGCAATTTGATATAAAAAGTACAAAAAGGGCAGTTTTTTTGCGTTAATCACAAAACAGGTACGCTTTCTGGAAATGAGCTGAGAAGTTTAAAGGGCGCTGAAGTAGCACCCTTGTTGTTGCCTCAACCCTCAAGCAAGCAAAGCATCGGACATGACCTCGTTTCTCGTTTTGGCAGTGGTATAATGCACAGCAAGCCAATCTTAAGATATCAGCCGGCATTACTTTTAAGTCTTGTAACTGGAGCTAGTTACCTTGTACATAGTTTCCTGTGTTTATTTTATTATGACACACCTCACTTTAAAAGGTATCAGCACCTAGTGAGTCTTCACTACATTCAAATTTACCAATACTTCACATTCTGATATATTTTTCCCATCATTTTGGCCTTATTTAAAACAAATGTACAGGAATTGTGATTTTTATTCACAACAGACTGTTTTTGAAAATACATTTAGGGCATTATTTTCAACAACTGGTAAAAATTTCACCATAAAAAGATATTTAGTGCTTTTAACTGGGAAGGAATCACTCCAGGGTTGAAAGACACACAGACATGACAGACAAGACACGAAAGGCAGAACACTACCCAAACTGCAGTTCGTTGGGCTCAAATGATAATAAAAGCAATCTTGTAATAGTGCTTTTCTCCAGAATCATAATGACCACTACCTGAGAAACATCTAAATTCCAGTTCCTTTGCTTTTCAGCGCACAATTTCACTAGCTACTTTCTTTCCATTTGAAACCACACTGCATATTCCAAGACAATTGGACCAGCGCTGTGATGACTTCCTTTCTTTCAACATCTTATATGAAATTATTTCAAAAATGATTTGAAAGATTATTCAGACTGAATAATAAGTAGAGCAACATTTTCTTCCGACAGAATTGCAAAATAGATTTCCTTGCCTATATCCGCTGAGATTCACATATTCTAGCTCGCACGGTTTTAATATCAAGATAGACCTGATCCCCAGCAACACGTTACTACTAACCTACTGTAAGTTACTGCACAAATGAGTAAGAACCTCAGAGTATTAGAAAAGCATTAAATGAACGGAAAGAATTATTAACTAGGACCTACCAAGCTTTGCAGGCTAAGCATGTTTCAGGGGTTGCAGTGTTTTTTTTTATATATACAAAACTTGTATAATCACCTTCTTCAAAGATAGAATAACATGACTATCTTCATAAACGATTCTACCCATTTGGATGAAATGGTCAATATTTAACCACAAATAAGTCTATAATTTAAAAAATTGTGTGTTTTCTCCTGTGTTTTCAAATAAAGGTACACGCACGGTCTGTTAAGAGGCCTCAGTTAAATTGTATTTAAAACCGTGTTCAGATGGACTTTGCCGACTTTTGGAAAACCGGTTCTCCAGTTTTATTTCCGGTTGTCCAGGATTTCCAGTGGCCCGCGACAGCAGAGCTACAGTGTTGCAGCCTGGGAGTGGGTACAATACTGCAAAGCTGCAGCCTGGAATGCTGACAGAGAGGGAGGGGTACTGCCCACCCCCCCCGCCCCCTCCACCACACACACACACACTCTAGGCTCCCGCCTCACCGATTCACAACAGGCCGCCGCCTTTCACCGATGGCTCCTCGGGGCTGCGATCCAAAGGCCACCGACTTTGACCTTTCCATTGAATTTTAATGGGCAGCATTACGGTACAATTTCGGATTCCCGAGCTCCCCGGGGAATTGAGCTGCTGAAACTTTACTTTCGTGTCCAGATCGTGTTTATCGGAGCCAAATCCTCTCGTGCGTTTCACAGAGGGGGAACGGCCCTGTTTATATCCAGTACGTCATGGGTTCAAAAACAAATGGTTACACAGCTCTTTAGGGCAAGGCATTAAAGCTACCTCTACAGCAGAAATTTGCTAGAATTCATCACGTCCGATTTATTAGTGTGGAACCATTGACATTCCTCGACAAACGGGAGGTGAAAGGGTCACAGCAGATTTTATCAATGAATAGGAATGACAAAATGTGTTCACACACTCATATAGGGGGTAGATGGAACAGCAAGAAGAACGGTCATCACAAGCACAAATACAAGGACATAAAAGATATGTAAGAATGTATGAATGGACATGACACAAGCTACAATTTAAATGCTAATATAAGTGCTCTAATGAATGGATGAATGAGTGAATTATTAGCTGTATTATTAATATTCCTTTCTAGTACATTTCTCATATTTGCAAATCCTCCACAAACATTGAGGATGAGTAGATTGTGTATTATTTCAATGAACACATGCATCTTATATTACACCATTCTTCGAGGTAGTTCTCTGAGGTTGCTTGGCACCCTACTGTCAACATTTTTGATGTAATCTCAATACTTGCTGTACTATGAGATTTTGGACTATAACACTCACAGTTATACCTGATGGTAAGAAACGATGCAGTCCGGACAATTACAGCACTCTTTTCTACAACAGAGTTTTACGTGAGGCATTATTTAAAACCAACCAATGCAAAATGAGCTCTTGTTTCAGTTTATGGACCATTCTGAGCGTAGCTGCCCAGACTGGACCCACACTCTGTAACAGACTCTCCTGATCCTGAGGAACCCAGTGTCAGCTGGGGCTCAGTGACTCCATCAGGTCATTAATTTGCTTCGAAACGATCTGTAAAAACCTGCGAGTTACTGACCACATTAAAGTGAACTTGAGATCCCTAGTCATGTCAGCCCTGAATCCAAAGTAATAACTATTCGATCAATTTATCCTTTCAACGAAGGGTTCGATAAAATGACAGAACTCACTGGAGGGGACAGTGGGGTCACCAGGACCAGAATTTGGAAGCCCTTCCCTATGAGAAGACCCCCACACACGTACTTGTAGTCTCAGGGAGGTGGTGTGTGCAAGCAATCAAACGCCCAAGGGCACACACAAGACAGGAGGTGAAGGAGCAACTCGGTTCACAGCGAGGTGAAAACAATTTAAACAGAAAGCATTACAAGCTTCCTCAAACAATCGCGCTGTGCAAACCCTTCTTGCATCAGGGAGCTTGTGTCAGCAAGAACTGCAGGTGCCTGCAAGAGGGACATGAATACTGATCGATGGAGATCTGTAGTCAGTAGCATAACTGTTGTATTCCTTAATACACAGCTCTGCGCCAATGTTATATTCCTTAACACAACTCTGCACCAGTGTTCAACGCCTTAACACTGATGAATACACACCTCTTCACCAGTGTTAAACTCCTTAACAATGATGAATACACACCTCTGCACCGACGTTATATTCCTTAACTCTGATGAATACACAACTCTACACTGGTGTTAACCTCCTTAACACTGATGCATACACAACTCTGTACTGGTGTTATATACTGTACATTAACAAAGTAACGTGCCTACACAATTGTGCAGGCCTTCCAGAAAGGGTGATCTGTCTTTAGTACTCATCTTTGAGAGACAAAGGTTAGTTGCTGAATACAATATCAACAGCCTGTCTTGGGTCATGAATGCCCCAGACAGTGTCATTAATTATTTCTCATAGGCAAGATGTTCATGTGCGAGAACCATATAGCCAAGGTTAACGAGATTTAATCTCCTATATTTGCGCAGGTCACCAGCAGCACACTGCTGTTGGGGTCTCCAGGGAATGTTGTGGAACATGGAGGGAATACAGTGAAGACTGAGAAAGTCAGAGGAGAACAAGGAAGCATATTTAGCAGGCAGAAAAAAAAAAAGATTACCTCTCTCTGGGTCCAGGAAAGCATTAAAAAGGGAGAAAAAAGCAAGAGTACAGTCAGCAGAAACCCAAGCAGCACATGAGAAGTTTAGTTACAGAATAGTTCAGGACTTTCAAAGTAATGAAATTTTAGCATAAGAGCAGTGTCTGAAAAAGATGTTCTTTCATTATTATTTGACAACCGTTTTTAGGAGTTTCGAGTAGCAGACGATATGCAATGCATTACATCTTTCCTGCCTGTAACACAACCATTAGAGCAGCAATCCAATGTGAAATAGCAGATTCTTCTGTCCACCCCTGAAAAAATCTGAATATTGCAAGGAAATTAAATGTGAATCATTAATACGTTGCTCATTTTGTCTGTAAAAAGGTTTAAATACGACACATTCCTGTGTGCAAACGCTGAAAAGAGCAATGTAAAGTCTGTCACTTATCTATAGCAGAAGAAAAAAGACAATGTCGATGGCCTCTCCTATTCTGGAGGTGAGGAATCAGTTTTCTGTTTTCCCCAAGACCACCAACAGGATGGTGTTTGGGATGCTGACCTACTGTATGTCCGTATGTAGACTGAGGGCTAAACTGAAAACATCCATCTCACCAGTTGATAACACCAGCAGTGTTACGAACGTTGGCCACAACACTTACACTTCAAAGACAAGAGGCTGATCCTTCAGGCTCAGCAGGTGTATGAAGAGAGTAATTAACAGCATTTACACATTTCCTGAATCCAGTTTCTGACTTCTGATCCCGAAAAAAAAAGCACCCCAGCATTAGTCCACACTCACATACTGCATGATGCAGATAACAAGCTAAGTATCACCTTTCCACATACTGTATGAACATGGAGCACTGTTGTGTAACAGCAGGTGAAGGTTAAAGAGAGAAGTCACATGATCTGAGACTTAATTGAGCACTTATAAAGGAACAGCCTGGTCAATTCCATTCCTGTTCCTGCGACAAGAGGAGGTCAAAAGTACTCTGGAACACAGTTTGGTACCGAAAGGTGACAAAGAATACAGAGTTCGATGCGTTTTTTTTAAATAGGCACAGCTGTAGCTTCATGTCCTGTGGTAACATCCCCAGCGCAAGCCAACAGACAAATGGCTACCACACAGCCACCAAGCCAGTGTCACCTCACAGCAAAAACACCACAAAACCATCAATCCATTTTAACACTTTCATACCAAGCCTATGGCATATGAAGACATTAATTACAATGAATTACACAAATACTAATAACTAAGAAAAGCAAGCTGAAAATAATTGAAGGTACAAAATATTCCAAAAAACTTGAGGCTGGTTGTTCCATCCTTCCATCAAAATCGACTTGGTAATCTGGTATAAGGACTAAAATCATGTAACTCATTAATGGATCATGCTACAATACAAATAATGTCTTTAACCATTTTCTGGAGCTCTGGAAAATATATTAAAGAGCACAGTGCGGAGGAGTGTCTAGGAGCTCGAGAGTCCTCAATCAGAGCGTTGTGGGTTCGAAGCCCAGGTAGGGACATTACTCCAGTACCCTAGAGAAGGGAAATTACAACCTCTGTGAGTCGAATTGCTGTCAAGAATCAGCCAAATAAATTAAAAACAGCGTTAACTCTGGAAGGACTGTCTTATTATGGGGTGAGGTTCTGAATCATGCAAAAATAATACAGTAAAGCCATGACTTTTGCTGCAATAATTTAATCCAGCAGGATGGGTTTCCACACTGGATAGACACAGACATCGAGACATGTGAGAAGATGCCAGAACCAAAGTTCAAGCCCCTGTGATCTCTCTGACGTGACACGTACTCGTCTGCCTCTGCAGAACAGCTGGGGTCACAACCCTATTAAAGATCCATTAGGCAGAACGAAATGCCTGCTTCTGAGATTTAAGAGTTACTGGGGAATAATGAGATACCACAACATGAGCCATGTTAACTCATCCATTCAGGATCAAATTCCGTGAGTCCGTCTAGCAGTCCAGGCAATTCATTTAAGTTATCACTGGCAAAAGACATCATTTCTGAGTGATGTCTTTCCTGTGCGACAATTCCTACTACTTCATTCCTCATACCAAATCAACTGCAAGAACAGATATGCAAAGCAGCATCATTTGAAGTTGGTGAAGTTGAAAAATAAACATTCAATATAAACTTAAAACAAATACACCCAGTGATGCTTGTTTTTCTTAAATATGACCTTGATCACAATTTAGGTGCCCACAGCTCACATTGTTCACACAATGCGCAGAACTGGGAAACGCCAGCACACCTAATCAAGTCTATAAGCATGGTGATGAGACGAAAACCACTGGAAAATAAAATCCTGTGCACCATTTTATTGTAATACTCTTCTATAAAACTAAAATAGCTAATATCTCTGATACTAATAAAGACACACGTTTCAGTGAAGGCATGTTGCTGACGTTTTTACCCAACCAACTTTCACCTGATCCAAAGCAATAGTTTGTATTTTTATGGAAAGCCCCTCCATATTTGCAGCTAATGATCAAACCATGACAGAGTTCACCTATGGTGTGTTTCTTACGACCTGGCAAAAAAAAGATTACTTTGCATCTCTGACATAAAAACGTGGATGACTCAAAATTTCCTTCATCTTAACTGTGACAAGACTGAAGTCATGCTTACTGGCACCTCCCATCGACTCAGTAAAGCCAATCCTGTAACCCTGTCTGTGGATGATACTGTACTTGAACAAACTCCAGTATGTCCAAAATTTGGCAGACAGAATCCTGACCAGGTCTTCTCCTGTTATGCCCCTAAGCTCTGGAACTCTCTCCCCAAGAATATCAGAGAGTCACCTTCTCTAAACCCCTTCAAATCCAGACTCAAAACCTTCTTCTTTAGAAGAGCCTTTACTTAACTGGTTACATTTACGTTACCCCTCTGCCCCTACTGTATTTAGTACCACCATCTACTGTTTCCTCTGTGTATTCTCATCATGTTTATCTTGTGTATTTTTTATTGTGTATTTTCAGTTGTTGTTGTTGCTGTTGTCATTCAGTAAAGCGCTTTGAGGAGCCACCTTTAAAGGTGCTATATAAAATAAAGTTCATTATTATTTTTGATATAATATTACGTGTAACCACAGGTTCAACAATAACTGCTTTACATTTTTCCGAACTCTTTGACAACAACTGGACAAGTACAAAGACAGACGCCAAAATATTTTTGAGATCAGTCTAGAACCTGAAAATCCAACAAAGAAAAAAAAAAGCAGTACAATACTACGCTCCTTCATGGCGTTTTTAACAGGCCCTCTATTTTAATGTTGCTGTATTGGGAAAATTCACTTTGTGTGTAAGGTATCAATCTGTAAAAAACTGTAAATGCTTCCTTATTAGTGAAATGAATAATCACACAAAATACCTCCAATCAATAATACAGACAACCAACCCAGAGGGACTGAAGTCACTTAGCGAAGGCAAGTTCTTCAACAACTAGAGCATCGGCAGTCTCAAGAGATGACTAATGCTAATATTTGATTTAGGGGCTGGAGGGGACATCTGTAAATTAGAAAAGCAATTCGCTGACAGAAGTAGCTTATTGGCAGCTAATGTATGATAATTCATACATCACACATTAACCTCTTTACCATGAGGACTGGGCTCTACAGCACTACGCCATTAACACTGCGACATGAAGTGCCAAGTACAATTTGGAATCACAGTGCGATTACACCGTGGGACCAGCACGATCATTAGCATACAGAGTGTACCAGGCCACTTCATTCCAACTGGGACAATGATTTTTTTTTTGGGGTCTGTCAGCACTTGTCCACTTCCTTTCTTCCATCCATCAATCTGTTGTCCCAGTTGCTTTATCTGGTACAGGAGCAAACAATGGGTGCAAGGCAGGTACACCCTGGACAGGATACCAGTCCATTGCAGGGCACACACAGACACAAACACACACTCACCAGGGGCCAGTTTTCCCAGAGACCAGCTAACCTGCCAGTATGTCTCGAGGCTGTGGGTAGAAACTGGAGCACATGGCAGAAGCCCATGTGAACAAGGGGGAGAACATCAGACAGCACCCCAGGAACTGAACCCAGAGCCCCAATGTTAACCACTTCTTCCTACTCTTAAAACTTAAAACAAACATTACTGCATTAACTTAGGGCTTTTATCAGAACAGTTGGGTCTTTACCCCTCTGCTCCTACTGTATTTAGTACCACCATCTACTGTCTCTTCGTTTGGACAGCCATTTATCCATACTGATCTTTTTAGTGCGTGTGAGACAAGTCATCACACAATAGTTTTGTAATTAATAACAATACAAACCATTAACATTGGGAGCTGTGTGCCATTTCTGGAGTGCTGGAGATAAAAATAAGTTATCTCACTGTCGTTCCTCTCCTCCACTGTCCGCTGGGTTCTGCAATGCTGCGGCAGACCTGCAGTAGGTCAATTTCTGAGTGACAGATGTTAGCAGTCAATTTCCCTGCCTCAGACCCTCGGTGTGCTGCTGTCCTTCTACGTGAGCAATTTCTTTGCTATAGAAAAAATCAAATCCACTGGTGTGCAGAAAAAGCTCATAGCCACCCTCCTAATAGCAGTATGGTTGAAGAATACCCTTCGGGATGAACTAGAAAGTCCAGTGTGAGACACTATGGGCTGGTTTCACACACCAAGAAAAGCTGTTGAACTGTAAAACACCGGATAAACACTATAGAGTTAACTGGACTCTGTGAAGCCAATGGTGAATCTGCCGTTTTTGAAAAAAAAAAACATTTAAATTATCTTTTTTGGGTCATATCCACCTGATTTCTGGAATAAACAATTGTGTTTTTCATATCTTGGCTCACAGCTATAAACTCTGCAACCGCACACAGGAGAATAAGGAAGTGCAGGCAGACTCCGCCCACCTTCGAGTCAATTGGCTTGTCATAAGTCACAAGACTTCGTAGCCTGGCAACAGAAGTTCAGTGTAGACTGGAGGAGAGGCGTGCCCTTAACTGTCAGGCCGCGGAGGGCACGGGGGTCGCTTCGCATTCCCA